AAGTGGCTGCGCTGCCCACAGGGATCCCTTCCCTTCCTCAGGGATCCCTTCCTCAGGGATCCCGCCGAAGCCTGCCCGGCAGCGGCAAGAAGCGCCCTGAGGTTGCCGCAGTCTCCACGATGCGAACGTGGCTGTGGAAACGTGCTGTCAGGGAAGCAGCGGGGCTTTGCGTCCGCCAGATGCTCTGTGCCCGCTCGGGTGGATTTCCAGTTCACCCCGATTGCATGCTGAGGGTTTGCAATGCGCAAATAAGAGCAATGTGTAACAGGGGCTCTTTCCTCCTTTGGAAAGTGTCTCCCGTCGCACGGGCGAGGTGCGTTTGGTGGGATGGCTTTGGCGTCGTGTGAAAGCATCTGTGTGTGGACCCCTTTTGCATCTCCCTGCAGTAACTCCGAGGCCTGCTGCTGGGCATCTGCGTCCCGCAGCGGAGGTGTCTGCGGGGTGGCACGTGAGGGCGGTCGTGCCCAGTCCATCCGCTGAGTGCAGGACACCTTTCCTCCTCCAGAAGGTGCCCTGGGAGCAGCTGGGGTGTATCTGCTCTCCCAGATGTGTTCAGAGGAACCATCTCTGTCCAATACACTCTCGGCCTTCTTTCCTCCCTTGTTACTTCTCATCTGCATCACCATCTAACAATTTCATTTGTTATTTTCAAAGCTATTTATTGGAAAGGGGAAATGTTAAGACGGAGATTCGGGTTTCTTCCTGGAGTCTTGTAGGACCTTTCCTCAGGATATTTTCCCTCCCCTCTCTCATCCCCTGTGTGAAACTGTCTTCTTTTTGCATTGCAGGAGTTGTTTGTTGAAACCATAGCCAAAGATGCTTATGTATACGCTCAGCAAGGAAAAAGAAAAACTCTGCAGAGAAAAGACCTGGGTATGAGAGCATATTCTGTGTTATCCTTAGCAAAGGGTTGCTAGGATGGAGGATTTTTCCACTTGTCCCAGTGCGGTGAAGCAATCACAGGTGCTTCTCTCTCTTTCACTGAAGATGGGAGAGAAAAACTTCTCTTCTGCTAAATATTACGCTAATAATTTCACACACCAGCTCCAAAACAAGTAAACCTGTTTGAAATTGATCATGGTACTGTGATGTCATTTCAGATGCTGCTGTTTGAAGCAGATGGAAGTATGGAGTCGGTTTATCTATGTTAATTGTTTTCAATTTGCTTTGCAGATAATGCCATTGAAGCTATTGATGAATTTGCTTTTTTGGAAGGTGAGTTTCTACTTGGTATTTCGTGTAATCTCTTTCTTGGGAGAGAAAGAACTTAATCATTTGCAGAGTCCTCTGTTTCCACATCTTTAATAATTAATAGTTTAACTTGTTGTGCCCCTCTCTGAGAGGTGAAACACAAATCTAGTGGACTCTGAGACGTCTACAATACTTTTTAGCTAGATTTGGTTTCACTCATCTGTGACTTGCTTAAACTTTAAAAAGTTACTGCATGTTCCTTTGGCAGCTTGTAAACAAGTTTCATTTGTTCACATAACTGCATTTCTGATTTCTGAGACTGTAATTTTTTTTCTATTTTTCATTTTTAGGTACTTTGGACTGAGCTGGACAGAGATGGAGCTCTCTGGAGAAGGAGACGGCAGAGATGGATGTGGGGTGGAAAACAGAACGTTGAGAGTTCGAAAATAGCTCCTAGAATTGAGACACTGAAATGGCAACCATAGTATTTTGTATAAAGTTTAAGTTGTTGTAAGTTCTTTATTTAAAATGCATATTTTTTCATAAATATTTTGTATGTCACTTACCTGTGCCCTGCCGCCATGGTGCAGACTGCTCCGCAGCTTTGGCCAGGTCACACGGCAGTCGCTCAGAGCAGCGGTCCCTGCCTCTCCAGGTACTCCAGCACCACAGAGCTGTGAAGGGAGAGCGGGTCAGCTCAGATGCCCAGGCAGGGTGAATTTTTTTTTATGGAAATGTATTTTTCTTTGTATATGTTTGTTTCTTGGCCGAACACAATTAAATTTTTTTGTTGTTGTTGTTGAACAGCTGTCCTAATTTCTCCTCTGTGCTGCTGGGACAAAGGGGATGGTGCTCCTGTAGCACTGTGGTAAACGGCGTAGTTTGGAAAGGATGCCTTCTAATAGCATTTTGCTTTTGCTAATTGTTTCCTCAAAGCATCTGTCCCAGTGAAGTCCAGCTGTCCTCCAGGAACTATGTATGAGCTCCAGGGAGACTTGGCTTGTTCCTGGGGGTGTACAGCTTCCATAAATTTCTCTGATTGCTGCACCTGTAAGTAATTGTAGCCAAAAAAAAACCCCCACCCAACCCCCCCAAACCCCTATTTTGAATGCCAGGGTGGTGTCAGATGCATTACACTGCCATCACTGTTCTCTTGTGCGGTCCTATTCCTGAATCTGGCAAAAAAAATGTCTCTGGAATTGAATCTAGTCCCTGCCTCGTGCACTTGGCCAAGGCGGTGCAGAGATCCTAACTTCTGTAATTAAGAGCCACATGCAGCGAGCCACATAGTGCTGCCCTCGACCGGTGTGTCTGTGGGAGTCCCTTACAGCACACGAGTACTACCTGTGCCTCTCCTGTTTCCAGGACTCAGGAGACTAGTACTTCTCTACAAGTATTTAACAAGGTAGAAAGAAAGATGCCTTCTCTTGACTCCAGGGCTCAGTCACGCTGAAAAGAGGCAAAAACAGAGCTGCAGGCCTCTCCGTGTGGTGGTGGGGAATATGCTGTCATTGCTGATGAGGCTGAGTCCTACCGTGTTGCTGTCGTTATCAAAGAGCCAGCTTTGTCTCAGTTTTGGTGTTGCGGAGGGACAAAAGAGGGTTGTCCCTAGATAAAAAGGCCGGTGAATGCCATGAGTGAGGATGAAGGATGCATGTTCCTTTCAAATGAGGGGACTTGTGACTCCAAGTCACCACAAACTTAATTAGTTTGAAAGTGGTGGTAAGAACAAAGACCCCCAAGGGAGCTTCCTCAGCCTGGGAGCAAAACTGGTTGCTCTCAAGAAACACTTTGAAGTTTGCTCGAAGCCTGATCCCCATAGACACGTTGCAGGAGAGATGCCATCACTGCCCAGGCCGCTTAGGTGTTTGTTCAGATCGCAATCGGGAGACATTTGCCAGCGATATGCGAACCCATTTGTCTCTGAGCTGTTCACCTCGCCCGCTGAGGGAGGGCTCTGTATAAGTATCAGAGATACTGGAGACCTTTTTGTGTTTCCCAAGGTGCAGGATGCAGGACCCACTAGCTGTAGTCGTCTTTGCAGGGCTGTTGCATGCTCCCGTCTTTGCCAGTAAGTTCCTTTTTCCTTCTCATTGTCTTTGGTGCTGCTTTGGCTTCTTGCATAGGAGCGAAAAGGGCTTGTGCGGGTGTGTGGTGCGAGGCTGTGTGTGGGCTTTGTTCATATCTGATGCTTCTTTATGGGCACGGTGTATGTTTTCTACAGTGCTTCACTGTGAGCAGCATGGAGGATTGTCTGCACTCAGCAAATAATTTGGGGTTTGTCTCGGAGGAAGCTGCTGTGCAGAAATGTTTGGGGAGTTTGGTGCCTGTGAGCTGCTTTGTGCTGTGTGAGATTACCCCTCTTACCTGACCTTGCATTGCAGTAACATGGAAGTAGAAGAGAGCAGGGGACTTACATCCTAAAAAAATACTGCTAAACACAGCCTTTTCTTGGAGTAATTAATCAGATAGGGTGTTTAGCCCAGCTAGCCAGGTCTGAGAGGTCGAATGGGTCATGTCCATTTTTAACTACTCTAAACCTCTTCCTTATGTTGAAGCCATTTGATTCAGGACGGTAGGCAGCCGGAGACTTGCGCTCAGTGCCTCCCCCCAGCTCAAGCAGGAAAGGTGCTCAGTTACAGCTGGGGTAATGCTGGGCTTGGTGGTTTGTGACTGCAGGTGCTGGAGCCATCGGCAGAGAGGACGAGCAAGGGAACCTGTTTGCAGAGAGGGGCTGCTGCAGGAGGCAGAGCCATTTCCTCCACATTGGGCACGGTGAGTTCCCCCTTCGCCTGCAAGAAACCCAGATCCTTTAAGCTTCCCCACTCACGTCCCACCCATTATCTCTCGGATGTTTCTTTATGTTGAAATTATCCTAGTGACTTTTCCCTTAGGATTAAGGACGGAAATACGCTGGGGACTCATCGCCCAGATAGCATGTTTTGTAGAATAGGAACTGATGAGTGTCCTGGCCCCTAGGTCTGTTCATCTGCACGAAAGAGGCTTCCTTTTCTGTACCAGTGTGCTGCAATGTGGTTGAATTCTGTGTTTGCCTCTGTTTGGTACTGCAAGAGTTCAGGACTACTGCAGAATTTTGGTTCCCAGGATTAACATTGGAAGGGCTGTCAGCAAGGCAACAGGGTGTCCTGACTTTACTGTGCAGAGAAAGTAGGAAATAGCTCCATTTGTTCACCAGAAAAAAGTCTGTGGCCTTCAGGAGCAGCCATTAGTCTCAGTTCCCCTTGTGATGGCAGTAAGGCTACGTAAAATGAGCTTCAGCTGATTTTAGCACAGATACGTGAAAATGGCTTTAAACTGTATGGCCAAAAGTCTGAGGTTTCTTAGGTTTTTTCCAGTGCATGAGAGCAGTACTTGTACAAATTTAGCCTTTAGTGTTTGCAAAATATCAGATTCTTATGTGAACAGTAGGCATTATAAAATGATCGTATCCAAACTGAGAACTGTCACAAGCAGTGACAGCTTGTCATCTCCAGAGGAAACAGCTTTAGAAGAATAAATAATGATGAAAATAATAAAAATAGTAATAGATAGTGATAAAAATAATAAACATAGCCTGTATTGCTGTGGGGATGGGAGAGCGGGGGTTAATGGTGTCTTCAGCTGGCAAAGTGTCCTTTGCAAAGTGACCAGCCCTCTGCGCCCTTCGGTGGGTGAGGAGCATCCACAGGGATCACCACCCGGGAGCGGCTGCAAAAATGCTACCTGCCTTACTGCTCCCTCGCTTCCCTGGGCAAAGAAATCCTCAGGCAGCTAGCAGCAGCTGTAACCCACGTATGAGTATAAAATGTCCCTACATATTTCCTGGTGTCGTGCAGCATGGTGATGGTGGCTGTCTCTTGCACTGACGCTGAAGATCAGTTTTTAAATCAGTGCAAAATTAAAGTTTTGCAGCACACTCTGGGTCCGCAGCTCCAGCGGGTTAAAGCAAATGAGTTACGGTGGTGTTGAACTACTCAGTGGGCACGTTAAAGGCCAGTTTTCTTCCCTATTATATGATGAAATGAGGATTTACATCAGTCAACCCTTTGAATATGGACAGCACTATTGGGGAAACATAGCTCATTTTAGAAGGTTTTCTAGAACAGCCATTAGCCAGTAACCACTGATATTTTGCAAGCTCAAAATACAGCAGAGTGAACCGATCTAAACCTGGATGCAGTGGTCCCATGTATTCCCTGTTCCCACACCCGTTCCCACCTTCCCATCCTCTGCCTGTAGTGCTAATGTGGCAATGCAACAGGTTTGGGGAGCTGTGAAATTGGGACTGGGGAGGAGGGGCAGATTTATTTTCAGCTCAAGCAGCTCCATGAGCAGGTTCATCGGGCTCTAGGCGAGGAGAGCCGCGTTTCTCTTTCTGCCCTGAATCTGCTGGGTGCTCAGGCTCGTTCGGTGCGTTCGAGGTCTGCAGTTCAGCGACAGCTGAGCATTCACATTTTCCCTTTGCTAATCAATGTATTCATCTATTCTCACCCCATCTTTCATGAGCTCGCTGAAGGAAATAAAACGTACTGTTTCCTAGTGAATTTTCAATTGCATTCTTTTTATTCTGTAGTGCACTTACCAGTCTATTATGAGATGCTTTACTTCTGGTCTGCAAACACAGTAGACGCACCTGCAGCGCTAGTGAAGGGCTTTCTCTCTGGGATTTCGCGGGTGCTCAGGCTGAAGGAGTCTCTCTCTCAGGCAGGCTTGGGGTGGACCGTGTCTTTTTGTTCAGTGTTTGTGTCGTACTCAGCCCTGGTTTGAGCTTGGGCCTCCCCAGCATCACGCAAATACTGAGGAGCAATCTTTTTGTCAATCTTGTGTTTCACAGATGTCTCTGGCAGTCCTGTCAGTGTGGATGTTGGAAAGTGCAGGTCCAGCTGCCTGTCCCAGCGCATCAGCTCCCCCCACCCTGGCCTCCTGGGGCTCTCCAGACACTCCTCCATGCTCGATTTCCTTAGAAGCAAGAAGGTGAGAAAAGTGTGTGTGTGTCATCCCTGTGGCAGTACCGGTTAGGTCTGGGTGAAGGTCGTACACTAGTGCCTGGGGCTGTGACTTTATACATGTTTTAAGGTTTTTGGCTTCTGCATGGCAGAAAACCCATCACTGAGTCTCTTGTCCTGCCTTAGCCAGCAAGCAGTGGATTATGCAGGCTGGAAAAATGGAAACCAGCCAGCAATGCTGGATACTTCGTGGCAAAGGAAGGGCCAGAGTTCAGCTGAAGGGCTATCGCAGCACCTACCCAGCTGCTCCAGGCAGCATCCAAGCATATTTCTGTCCTCCCCCAGCCCAGCAGCAAGATCAACAGCCACATCTGCTGTACGTGAGAGCTGGTGTCCGATATGTAGAGAGGTTGGAGGCCTTTTTCTGCCTTGTTGAGCAAAACTGGCAGGACCCGTGATTTCATGATGAATATCTGGTCTGTGAGGTGCTTATGTCATTCATTTATCACATGCCATGTGTCACTCCTAGGAGGGACCAGAAGGAGCCTGTGCATGAGCACTGTGATGCTCTCCTTGTCAGGAGAGCTGACGTTGCCTGAAGTCCCATTTCCACCAGGATAACACTGGTGAGGGAACAGAAACAAGCTTTGCAGGGTGCTGTGCATGTGTGTCCTGTGAGTGTTCACCTGGGGGACTGTAACTGTGAAAAATCTTGTGGCCACTGTTGTCACCACTGTGGCACTCACTGCTGGTGCAACATCTACCAGGCGGGCAGGTCCACATTTGTTCCCCAGAGCTGTCATCACGCTGACCCTCCAGATCAGGAGCCTGGGGTGAAAGGAGGACTGCTTTAGCCAGTACAGTTCAGCTGATTGTAGCAGAGTTTTGGGGAATAAACAGTTTTGACATCAATGTGTCATGATATCAATGCAGTGCTGCCATGCAGGGAGAAAGGAGTAAAAGCTGAGTCAGTTCTAGGTCAGAAGAGGTTTTTATCAGGGAGCTGATGCTGGAAGTTTTTCTCCGTGACATGTTTTTACCAGTGTGTATGCCACTTGCCCTGTTCTGCGCAGCTGCAGGTCAGGCACCCCGACTCGCCGCTGCAGACAGGAGCCCCGCGTTCCTGCCCTGCGGGTTCCTGCTGCGAGCCTGCCCGCGTGCACATGGAGCGGCTCCTGCTCTTCGAAGGCGTTCAGGAGGTGGAGGTGGTTGACGGCTGTCACTGTAGCACGTGCCCCGAGGAATGTCTCCGTCTCCCAGCTCTGAAAACCTTCTTTCCAGACTCTCCCTGGGAGGTCACGGTCGACGTGGGGAAATGCTCTGACCCAACCTACAGTGCAGGTATGGGAACGATGGAGAGTTCCACTCCCTCCAGGAATATGGGGACGAGCCCTTCTGTGTGACCAGCACCAACGTTGGAGCTCAGAGCATGATCTAACAATGCTCTGGTCTGCTACGCAAGCCCCCTTTGCCTTAGGTGGGAATGGGGTTGTATTTTATACTGTCGGGGTTTGGGTTTTCTTTTCCCTTCTGTTGCTGGGCCAATACAGCACAGGTCTGCAGGTGAAATGGTAATTGTCTGCCCCTGTGCATGGTGTGAGGAAGGAAATACAACCAACTTGTGTTACAGGGAAGCGTCCTCTAACCAGAGATCATAGAATCAGAGTAACCCAGGCTGGAAGGGACCTTGGGGGTCTCCACTCCAACCCCCCAACTCAAAGCAAGAAAACCCACCTGATGATAAAAGCTCTACTGAAAACAGACCACTTAGCAACCACTAAAAAATGGAATTTCCTTTCTGACGGTCTGAAATGCCCTTTCATCTCAGCACCAGTGAACTACACTGATGTTTCAAAAATCAGAATGGAAAAAATCAAAACTCAGAAACGGAAATTCCAAACTAAATCATTCCAGGCAGGTCAAAACCTTCCACTGGGATAAAGCTGAAGTGGTTCGTCCTGAACTGGTGTGCTGTCTCTTGAGTTCACGTATGAAATAACCTGAGAGTCATGTCAGTGAAGATGACTGATCTGTTTTATCAGAATGGAAAGTCGGGTTTAAATGATTTTCCACAACTGCTTGATAAAATCAATTTTGGAATTTGTTGATGTCGCTTTGTTGGCATTTCTGCATCTAAAACCATCCCGTTAAAACCTTCCCGGCAGCTCCTGTGACACGGCCGTACAGCAGCCACTAGAGAGGGACAGAGACCAATGCGAGCCCTAACGTGAGCTTGAAAAGCAGCGAAGGGGCCTGAGCTAGAGGGGCTGGGGAAGCCAGTTGGGTGGCGGAGGAAACAAACCCCAAGGGGCTCTGCTTGCCCGTGTCCCGTCCTCAGGGAGCTGGAGGAGGGTCCGCACACAGGCATCAGCGCTCCCGCAGCCCTGCGGCTTGTGTAATCCGGCTGCAAGACACAGCAAGTGGAAAAGAAAATTAGGCAGCGTGAAGTGCTTTTTTCCAGAGGTGAGAGAGGTGGCATTTACTTCCCAGACGTGTGACTGGAAGGTGCCGGACGATGCTGTTGTCCCCGGGGTGGCTAATGGACGGTGGCTCATTCAGCGATAATGGTCCAGGGCTGGGAAATGTGGACTCACCCCCAGCTTTGCCTCTGCCCTAGGGCAGGTCTCGGCACTTTCCTTCTGGATTTTACCCTGTAAAGTCAGGCTGACACTTTCAGTGTCATGTTAAAGACTGGCAACATCAGAGGAGCAGGGCGGGGGCGGGCCTGGAGAAGGATGTTAAATTCTCTCCCAGAAATACTGGCTTCCAGAAATCGGTTGTCATTTTCTGTCCCACTCTTAAGGCATCCCAGAGAGATTTGCTTTCAGAAAACGCTTTTTCCTCCCCTGAAAACACAGCTCCATCCTGGAACAAAGAAATCTCCTCCAGCATCTGATGAACTAGCTGGGAGGGGGCAGGAAACTCTCACAACCATTTTAAAGCCAGGAACCAAACACAAACCCTGAAGGACCCGCACCCAAGGGCTGGGACAGGGCAAGACTAGGTGCTATTTAGAGCCAAAACCCAAGACTGACTTGGCCATCAACTTCGTCATCCTTCTTCCCCTCCTCTAGCTCATGCAATGGAGAATTTAATCCTAATTTACTTGGTAAGGGAGAGAAGAGCTGGGAGATTCAGCAGATAAACTGTTTCTTTCTATGTGGAATGTACGTTCAAACTGAGCCAGGCAGGAGAGTCCGTGCCCGTTTCCTTCCAACTGGACATGAGTTATTGCTGGAGGAGCCTCTGTCTCTCCTCTCCAGCTGCTGAGCCCGTGCCTGAGCCAGCCGTGCCGTGCCACTGAGATGGCGTGTCCTGGCCTGGAGGTGGCATGGCAGCAAAGACGCGGGCTTTTGGCATGTCCACCCCAAGCCCCGCTTCACCCCGCTCTCTGCATGGCTTCCTTAACAATCAGACTGGGTATGTCAAATCCGAACATAACTTTTTTTTGCCCTAGGAATTTTTCACTGAGTTAAAGTTTTTTTTTGAAAAGGCAAAGCAGGACTCGGTGCTGCGCCCACAGAACCGGGGCCATCGCCTGCCTTCCCTTTCCTCCGGTACCAGCCTTCCTCCGTCCCACGGCGCGGGTAGGGCACGTGCGATAACTCCTGCTGACATGGGGAGATGCTGCCTGCATCGCCCCAGCCCTGGCTGGCTCGTCTGCTTGCATGGAGAGCTGAGAGCCCAGCCCAAAGCAAATCCTTCGGAGGTGCCCGGGGCACGGTATCTCCAGGAGAGCTGCTGACACTGGCTCCAGCATCCAAGAAGCCCGTGCAGGGCACAGCCCCCTGGCAAATCCAGAGAGAAATGCTGAATGAGTAAATGTTAAATAATGTTCCCCAGCTCCCTGGTATGAGAGCTTGTCTCTGGAAAAAGCGCTGTCATCAATATTTTATATTCAAAGACCTTTTTTTCTCACAGATAATGTGTAATAGCTCAGGCTGTCTCCCCAGAGACGGGGCTCTCACAGGGTCGGGTGCGGGATTCACAATTTGCACCCAGAATAACCTCTTTGCCCTGTGATCTGAAACTGAGATGGAGGAACAAAACCGATTGCTGAGGCCCTGAGCTGGTGAAGGAATGAGCCCCAAACTCTCAGCTGGGGACCCTCACACAGAAAACAGTGCTTTCCACACCGGGTGCTGGGCGCTGGAGCCTGACACTGCGTCTGTGCTGCACGGCAGAGCCCTGGTGAAGATGCTGCAACCATAGCGGCCTCAAATGCAGCCCCAGATTAAATTTATTTCTTGTTCCCCTGCAGATGGACTTCTCTGCGTGCCCACAAAGTTCAGCACTGCTCTAGTCAAAAACCCACAAGGCGGGGAGGTGGTTCAGACGCTGGAGAACTGCGAAATGAAGGAAAAATGCTATCGCGTTTCCCAGGTGGAATATTATTACGAAATTGTGCACAGCTCTGCAGGACACAGGGAGGAACGGCTCAAGGTTGGTTTCCTGTGGCTTGGCCTCCTCTCTGGTGGGCTCAGCTGTGCTGCTGGGCCCACACGTGGGGTTTGAACAGCCAAGTGGATGCTCTGACATGGGCAGCTTCACCCTGGTAGAGCTAAGCACACCCTGCAACAAACTATAGTGGTAAAAATCTCACACTTATGTTATCTTATGCTATAAAATGTATTTTACTGCCACTAATTTGTGTATACATCAGTGCCATAAAGTAACAAATGGCCTTTTCTTTGGGGTGAGGGTTTCTTTAAAAAATAATTAAGTGAGCAGTGAGATATTTATTTAAAAATTATTTAACCGTTAAGTATATCTTAAGCTCAGTTCAACAGAGATTCCACTTCAACATACCTTTGTGCACAGGGATCTCTGACTCAAAAAACACTGGTGTGCCCCCCAAATCCTTCTCCTTACAAACTTTGCCTTGCTGCTGCCCTCTCTCAGGGGTGTATGTTCAGCCTGAGCATTGAGGGTGGGCAGAGGGTGCAGTGACCAGCGGCTGGTCCCCTGGGGTGTCCCCAGTGAGTGCTGCAGGGGATTTTCATGCCTTTGTTTTGCAAATCTCTGCAGGAAATTGATGTGGGAAGGTGCTTGGGCAGCTGCTCCTCGGGGGATCCCTGCTTGCTTAGGTAAGCACAGCTGCCAGGATCTGGCTGTTCTCCTTGCCGGACATATCCGCACGCATTCAGAGGCAGGTCTGAGCTGCTCCCATTCCTCTCAAGTAATGCATCTGCTGCTCCCAGGGCAGGACCTGGGAGGGTAACACAGGAGCCGATTTTGGGTAGCACCCACAGCTCACCCTCTGGGCTGTGGGGCACAGCTGAAGCAGAGCAGCGGTTGCAGTGGGGCTACAGCAGCACGCTGCTCCGTTGCTTCGAGGGGTGAAGAATAACCTGCCGACGATGATGCCGAATTCGGCCTGTTGGGCAGCTGGTTATAGAGCTTGGGTCCCCCATGATAGCAGACACAGATGGGTCCTGACAGTGGCTTTCTCCAGCCTGGGATGTGCCATTCCTGCCCCCGCCTCCTGGCCATGCCGTGGGGCAGGAGGAGGGGGGATGCCTTGGGGTGGGGTGGGTCCAGACAGTTGTTTCAGGCCAGCACTTGGTGTTGCTTGCAGACGCAAAAACGTGGTGAATGCAAAGGGAAGCAAATCAAACCACAAAGAAAGAAAGAAAGAAGCCCTGCTCTGCACAGGCAGAGAGGGAGGAGGCAGTTCACTGAGTTACACCAGCAGTAAGGAATAGATGCCGCTGGAAGCAAGCTGCCTCCCTTCTCCCCCACCCTGGTCTGGGGCATCTGCCCTTTTTCCAGGCGATGAAATGCAGGGCCCCGGGGTGTGGCAGGGCAGGGGATGTTGTACTGGGTTTGTCTCTAACTGCAGGGAGTCACAAGGCGGAGAGAAATGTCTGGTTTGGGCAGAAGCTGCCTCTGGCCGCTGTGCCCCTCACCACTACGATGTACACACCTTCAGGAGCCGCCGGGACCGTGTTCGCACCGTCGTTGCCATCCGGCAGTGCAAGTGCAGGTGGTAGTGGGGCTGGGGAGCTGCAGGTGGGGCTCCTGCAAGACCCCCGACAGACTGTCTGTAGTATATGTAAATGAGAGAAGGCTATTTTTTGAATAAAAGCTATTTTAAACAGCGCTTGTATAAATGAACCCTCTACAAAATGTTTTGCAGCTTGTAAAATAAACATCATGGGCAATTCGCAGCTCCTTGGGGCTCCGCTGTGCAGCTCCGTGGCCCCTCTGTCTGCCCAAGTGTCCCAGGAGGATGCGGCGCACACAGAGGCATGTGGCCATCTGGCCTGGGATGGGTGTTGCACGGACCCGGCTGCTCCCATTTACAAAACGTGGAGCAGGGGTTGGAGAGGAGAGGGAATCAGGCAGGTAGGTGCGTTGGGGCAGAGATGTCCCCTCTGCGGGCAGTCCCAGTTATCCTGCGGGACATGCCACTGCCCCTGGTGAGCCGGGAAGAGGAAGGAAAGGATCCAGAGGATACAAATTGTTTCCTCTATCAATTCACTCAAGCCTGTCATTGCCTCCCTGCCTATTCTGGATAATTAACGGCCCTTTCACCTGCCAAGCATTGGGTTGGAATAAATTATAGACAGCACCTGGGCAAGTAGCCTTCGGTTTGCCTCCTATCGCCTTGGCCTGGAAGTGCTTCGGCCAGGTGCCTGTGGGGCCGGGGAGTGCTGCTTGATCCCTGCGGGCAGACAGACAGATGGATGGTGCTGGTTCCACTCCTGCACCGTCCCCTCTCCATGGCAAGCCTCTTGCCAGAGCCTGATTCTGTGGGCCTCAGTCACAGGGGGTTTCCCTGTTCCCTGTTAGACCTAACAGGCTTTTCTCATCCTGCTTTTTTTATCTGGGGCACTGGTGGATATTGAATAATGCTAATTTTTTCTGTTCGGTCACATGGCATTAAAACAAACAGCAAATGTAAAGAGTCGAAGTGTACTGTGTCAACATGTCCACCTTCACCAACCTGGTTTCTCTGTGACTGGGGAATAAGAGCAAAAGAATTGGCTTTCATCCCATCATCTGGAGTCCATAGATTTCTCATGATATTTCATTAATATCGAGCACTCAGGAATTAGCAGCAAATGCCTTTTAATCCCCAGAAAGCCAATTGGCTTTTTTCTTTTTTTTTCCAAAAAAAAGCTTAATTTCAGTTTGGTTCCTCCTCCTGCTGAGTTACTTGCCACAGTCCAGGGCCTGGCAGCACTGTGGAAGGAAGC